ATGTTGACTCTCTTAAGTTAGCTTGATGACATATCCTTGCATTACTATACCAGCTCGCGTATAGTGCTCAATTGCTTTTCATGGTGCTTTAAGGGTGTCTTGAGTTGACTCGCTTAGAGAACTTGATGGCTCACTTTGAATGAGGGTGAAGTCGCTCAGAATGCATTTTACATAGATCGTAATTCTAAAATGATTTTCCAACCTCAATTAAAATTATAAAATCATGCATTGGCCAAAGGAAACATTAAGAATAAGGTAAAAATAATTAATAAATAAAAATAATGTATTGAATGAGAACAAGGAAAATTACATGAGTACAATAGCTACATCAGTCTCCAATAATAGAGAACTTAGTTGTTCATGAGTAAGGAATTCACTCACAAATACAAACAAAAATTGTTGAGAGATTCATGATTATAAGACTATGACTCGCTTGAAGTTTTTGATGGTTCGCTTTGAGAGAGGATGGAGTTTCAGAGTGCACTTCCCTCTCCTTTTGAGCAAATTTCAATGTTAATTCTTTAATTTGTGATTAATTGTTCTCCTATATCTCAAATTAAATAAAAAAATATCGAAATTATCTAAAACTAGAAAAATTCTACTAATTAATCATATAATATTATAATACTAATTTTTAATATATAAAAACATGACTTTAAAATATAAAATATTCAAAATAATGGCCTAAAATAGATTAAATTTTTTTTTATTGAGAAATATTATAGTTATAAAAAAGTTTTCTAAATCGTCTACTTTGGACATTTCCAAATATTCCAATTTAATGAATATTTTCAAAGTTCTAATGTGGACTGCATATAGCCTTTTATTAAATGGACCCGTGTGTAATTATGAGATGACCATTATTCATAACAATGATGAGTTTGTGTTGAAATTCGTTACCTGTATATGCTTCTTTTCTATTTCATGTTCTATTAGGGATACCAGTTTCGACATCTAGAGACAATTAAGTGGTCAAAAAGAAGGATTTACGAGTAAAAGCGAAAAAATGCATTTCTTAATCTGGATAAAAAAAATAGCAATTTTCTTTTCTTAATGATATTTTTGTCACATTCTAATTTATGCTTGGTCTTTCTACAAATACAGAGCGATATTGAAATCAAATTGTTATAACAAGGAAGGGCACCAGGCTCCTTGTAAATATGATGATACCGTCTATATGATGCTGTTTGGAATTGTTCAGGTGATCTTCACAACAAGTATTTTGTACAAAAACCCATATCTATTAGCTGCTAAAAAAATATTAAATGCTGAAATATATGGAATTTTGAATTTATGTATGAAGAAACAAACTATATAATAATGATATTTTCTTAGACTCAAAAAGTTTAAGGAGAACAATGGAACTTTGAGAGTTATGGTTGCACTTGCAGAAAATGGAAGAATTATGGGAAGTGTAACAGGAGTACCAACTTCAAATATTGACAAGTTAATTATGGTTAGTCTTCCAAGCAGTTGGTGATATTGCCTTTGCCTATATATACGGTCATCTTCCTTGAGATACATGTATTCCAATAGGAAGGGAGAACATTTAATTTCAACGTCCTCAAAGAAATTTTATACCATCATTCAGTAATATAAATTTGTTGACTTTTATAACGATTATTTTAAAAGTTATACCTTGCACGATTTTTGATTAGTGATAATGTAAAAGTTTATACACCAAAAAAGTAGAAATTAAACTCCAAGGCAAGACAAGACAAAATTTACTACTATTGAATTTATTTATTTTGAGCGAAAGACACTTTAAAGTCTCCTCCACCAGAAAAAGACCATGAAAAAGGCCTCCACGATTGTTATCCTCATTACAACATTCTTCTACCTCTGCTGTGGATGCTTTGGATATGCAACTTTTGGAAATCAAACATCAGGGAATCTCTTGACAGGCTTTGGTTTTACGAGCCTTATTGGCTCTTTGACTTTGCTAATGCTTGCATTGTTCTTCATTTGCTATAGGAGGATATCAGGTATTCCTTAATATACTTATTTTTCAAGATTATAAAAAAATATTTCCTTCAAAATTTCCTCATATATCTTTTCTACGTATTTCTTATGAATTACCAATCATAGTTGTGATTCTTGTTTATAATATTTTGATCAGGTTTACTGTCAGCCAATATGGTGCTGTTGATCGATGGTGTTCAAAAAAGTACCCCAATAGTGACTTTGTAAATAAGCAATTGAAAAATTGCCATGGTTGCCAACTTTCCAGATAAACATGTTCAGGACATGTTTTCGAATAGCCTATGTGGTATCCACAACTGTACTTGCAATTCAGTTCCCTTACTTCAATCAAGTTCTAGGAGTGTTAGGAGCCTTAAGCTAGCTTTTGGCCATTGGATATATATTTTCCAAAGGAGATGTACTTTGTGCATGCAGAGGAAAATTGAAGCTTGGTCTAGGGAATGGATTGCCTTTAGGACCTTCAGCTTTATTTGCTTTCTTGTGTCAGTACTGGCTCTCATTGGATCATTTCAAGGAATCATAAGTGAAAAACTAAGTTAACAAAGGGTGTTTTGTTTGTGTCTCTTGTCTTGCAGCCTATCTTTCATGTAACTGAGTATTTGTTTCGTTCTTTGGATAAATTTTCAAAAACAATTCTAAAAGAAAGAAATAAGAAAAAAAATAAAATAAAATAAATTTTTTCATAAGTTAAAATTAATTTATGCATATATCAAGAGAATTGGTTGATTATGGATTATTAGATTTAGCTCCAGTTTTGTACATGGTCGCATTAATCTTTGTTTTTCTAGTAAAAAAATCATTAAACTTTATTTGTAATTAACTTAATGCAAAGAGTTTTGCCAACTAATGGTCTAGAGCAATGCTTATTTAAGAAATTAATAAATAACTTTTTATTAAAAATCTTGTTTACATGCATTAGAACTTATTGAGTTGACATAATTTTATCCGTACATTATTGTGTTTTTCTTAGAGTCTAAATTTAAACAAATCATTCTATCAAGTACAAGTTAAGCTAAACTTATATATTTTAACATGCATCATTATCCTTATGAAAACTCATGTTACACCCTACAAATGATATTAATCCAGTGCTTTTTCTTTTTTATAAAAAAAACTAATCAATGTGAGACTGTTTAAAAACATATGAACAAAAATACGACTTTGTGTTACAAATATTGAGCACACCATTTGCATTCGTACATGTTTCGTAATTTTGCAAAGATAAACACAGGTTATGTATTTTTTTTTGTGTGTGTAGTAGGCACGTCAAAATTAAACTTATAATCTCACATCATCATACTTATTACTTTAACCCATCACCAAGTTCTAGTGACAAATTGACGACTATGCAAGTTATGTATTTGATAACAAAGATTTTGATTTTTATGTTGCATACTCACATCTTTCCTGGACCTTTCAAAAAAAAAAAAAAGAAATAGATGTTTATAATTTTTTTAAAAGAAAATATTGATTTTAAGTTCGGTTTGTGTATATCAAGAAATTTATTTCAGTTAATTGAAAAAGGTGTAGGAATTGTTATAGATCCTTAATATTGAGTCCGTACGGATAAAAAGAAGTTGTTTGTGCATTTGATGTCTTTCACTTGTTCCATCATTGCGTTTTCGGTGTTGATTTTTTTTTTAAAAATAAATAAAAATGCTATTAAAAGATGCAGGTTGCATGCATGACACAAATTGACAATTTTAGAGTGTATGTCGAGTCCACGTAGGACATATCAATACATAATAATGGCCGTCTTAAAAAACTTTAATCATATTGCCATGTCCTAAACCCCAGCTGGAATAGAATAAATTATTATTGTAATATATAAATTTAAAAGAAATTATTATATTAATCCTTAAAATTTGAAAATATCAAATAAGTTATTCAACATATCAATTATCAATTATATTAATATAAAATTTTAAAAATATATAACTAAAATGATATTATTAACATATAATTTTACGATCAAAATGACAAAAAAGATTAAATTCAAAAATTCATTTAACATACTGAAAATTTAGCTGAAGTTTTTTTAATTTCGGAAATTAATGCGATGTCATTCTTAGATATTAAAAATGACTATTTATTCTTTCAAACATGTTTCAAATTGAGACATAGTTTTAAAAATACTTTATTTTCTTTTTAATTCATAAAAATTGTAACGAGAAATCGACTGAATTTGAATATAGAAATTTTACATATACCACGTCAATCTCTATCACTAGCTAGGTTGAATGGTTTACTCTAATTTAATTTGGCTAATTGGTTGTGTGTTGGAATGAAAACGCGTTTTGTTTCTTGCTAATTTAACCTTGATTTTTTCTCTCTTATAATACATGGTTTTCTCTTGCAAGTAAGGGCTCATATATATACAACATGATACTATACGTAGAAAAATTCAGAACCCTTTCTGAACTTCCAAATTTTTTAGCTATATTAAGACTTCTTAGTTATTCTATATAAATTCCAAGAATTCAACAACTTTACTATATATATATACTATTTTCCTCCATCACTATCACTATCACAATTATTTATAGTCCTCTTAATAAAATATTTTTTTATTGAATACTCTCTCTCTCTATATATATATATATATATAATTTAAATTTTTTTAATTAAACTTTATTTCTAATTATATATAGATAAATTGATTTCGTGTAAGTTATACTTTGTTATTTTAAATTATTTGAAGTATTTACATGTATATAAGTACACAATTATATATTTTAACATGTATTAGTATTCATCTAGAACAAAATTGATATTTTATTTCGTGGGTGTTAAGTTAGTTGTGGAATAAAAGGGGCTATGTATGACGTGGTATAGGTGGCTTATGATTTTTGGCTTAGAAAAGTCTGTTTCCACATTCCATAACAGATAATCAACATTATTTTTTGAATCATAGACTAACATTAAATTTATATACATTATTTATGGAGACAAAAATAAAAATTACATATTAATGTTGTATATGAAAATGACGATTCCGTATCTTGTGATGGCGAAGACCAGAAGGAAGAGAAGTACAAAAACACGGGTGGGTTAGGTGCCTCTTGGATATATATGATTTTCCAACGCTCCTGCTATAAATGCATCTCATTCTTTTCAAATGCCCAAACACTATTCTAGATCAACAATTCAAGTCTTGGTTCATTCATATTTCATTATTATTATTATTATTGATTGTTGAGAAGCAAAATCATCAACTTTGAAGGGTAGCAAGAAGAATTTAAGAAATGGGTGATGAAGCAATACCCTTGATTCAACCCTTTTCTTCCAGCAACCTATTACAACAAGAGTCTTTTAAAAGAACTGGTTAGTGCTAACTTAACTGCTGCTATTACTCTCTATCTTTCAAGTTAGTTGCTCCATTATTTTTAAATATTCTGAAATTTCCCACTCTTTTATCTTTTTCTAATTAATGCACAAGCTCATCTGAAACATATACACGAGGGCAACTTTTTTGTGTCTGATTTTTGTGTTCACAACTCCTTTAATCTTACACAATCAGTTATAATACATACAAGCTTTCATTTCATCCAACAAGGGCTTTCGTATATATGTAAATTAATCAAGGTCTATGTTTAGATAAAATTTTTCGAAAGTGCTTCTAAAAAAAATGAAATGAAAAAATGAAATCAATTTTATAAACTAAAATTAACTTGTGTATGAGTTAAAATTTATTTTTTTGATAAATAAGTTAATATATCTTCTTCAAAAAAAACTACTTTTAATTTATAATTTATTTTTTCTTCTTATCAATATTTATGAAGAAACTTATTGAAAGGAAACCTAGCTAACGCTTTTCATCTTCCTCCTGAACTTTTGTTTGACTTGCATGCACAATATAGCATTGAATTTGAATAGCAGTGTGGCTGGGTTGGGTTAGATAGAGAGATATTTGTTGGACTGATTGGTGTGTGAATGGCAGTTGCATTGCACTGTCTGTTTCGTTTCAAAGGACAATCTAATTATGAGTTTATAGCTTTAGTTAAGAAATCTAAGTAATAAATATTAAATAAAAGAATGCATAATATTTAATATATTAACAAGTGAAAAAACTGTAAAAGTCAATAGTTACAAATGTATTCATACTTTCCATTCAATGATTCAAACTATAATGATCCCACCTGACCTTTCACATAAATTTTGTCTGTTTATCATACTTTCCATTCATTACTATTCAAATGAAAGTCAAAGTTCTAACTATATATTATTATAAATGTGGCGTGAAGGTAATCTGCAGAGGGCAGTGGCACATATAATAACAGGTGTGATAGGGGCAGGGGTACTGTCTCTAGCATGGTCGGTGGCACAGTTAGGGTGGATTTCAGGTCCTCTCATTATTATCATCTTTGCATGCATTACTGTTCTTTCATCGTACCTTCTGAGTGACTGCTACATATTCCCTCACCCTCAACATGGCAACATTAGGTGCCCCTCCTACACACAAGCAGTCAAGTTATACCTAGGTTAGTCAAATATATTATTTATTCATTCATAATATATAAACTATTATTTATTTCAAATATATTATTAACATAACACCCCGAATATGTTTTTAAAATATTATGATAAATTAGGAGAGACCAGGGAAAAGGTATCTGGAGTGCTGGTGCATGCCAGCTTATATGGTACCACCGTGGCCTATATCATTACATCTGCTACCAGTGCCAGGTATTTTTTTTTAATTTTTATGTATCTTTATTTTTATGTTCTAAATCTAATGGTGAGTTAAGATGCATGTTGACCGTTTTAATATAGTTAAGAAAATGTCAAATTTTGCTTTCACAATTTTGTATATAACAGTCAGGATAAATATATAGACTTAGTCCCATGGAAAAGTATATAAACAAATAAGAATTTTCTATTATTTAGTCCCAAACTCCCAATATAACTATTGTCAATTCATAATAAATTTTTAAGAGGGAGTAATTTACCATTCATGTACCAACAAGTGTACATGGTTGTTAGTAGTCTCAAATTTAAATATGTAGTTATCTTAAATATTTGACAGGAAAATTTATTCGAGTTTTGAATATGCATATACAATTAATTACTCAAAAGAAGAATAATTTGTTACTGATAATAATATTATACAGTTTGGGTAGAATTGTCTTGAGTGAAAAATACAAATTGTATAAAAGAAAAAAAAATGTCATTTTGGGCTGTTTTTGTTTTGTAAGAATAATATTTGAGTTTGCCATTGATTTTTTTAAAAGAAAAAGTTGCCTGTCAATTTTGTTGGCTAAGCTTTTTACTTGTTTGTCGAAAATCTTCGAACATGGCTCTGAATGTAAGATGTTTTTTGTTTTTTGCTAAGCTACACTTGATGTACTGGGCTAGCTATCATGAGGTACTACATTAGTTGCTGGGCCTGGCCCAAGAAATCCAGTTGGCAAGTTTACTTGTAGGCTGTATGTTGTAACTAAACTGGGCATTAGTGAATATAATAAGGTAAATATAAGGATCATTATATATACACCACCTTTTTTTTTATAAGTACACCCTTTTTTAAATAAAAAAAAATTAAATTCTTAAAATATCTTTAATTTTTATTATTTTTAATTTTTTAGTTTTACACTCTTAACATTTAATTTAACATACTTTTTACATACCTATTTCTCTTATTTTCACATAAATCTTAATTTTTCTTCACCCTATTTTGGTAGATAATTTTAATTCTTTTAATTTTACATTTTTTTTCCCTTCCTCTTTCAATTTTCTCACTGATTTCACTATCTGCATAATATTCTAGAATAGTGATCATAACATTAAACTTAATGTTAAGGTTTTTGGAAAGGTGAAAGGAAAGGAAGTGTTGGAAGAAAAAATGTGTCTAGTTTGTTAGAAACTATCAAAAAAGTTACACGTACCTACAATGTTGTAGCCTGCCAGTTTTATGATTTGGATGCATATGAAAAAGTGAAAGAGGTGAGAAAATAAGAGAATAATAATATAAAAATCGAGAGAAATAAAACTATCTACTAAAATAAGTGATGAATTAGAGAAAGACAAGATAGCGTATGTGAAAACTAAAAATGAAAATGAAGGAGGTGTGTGAAAAAGAAAAAATAGTAAATTGAAAGTTAGAGATGTAAAATTAAAAATTTTAAAAATAAAAAAATTATACATATTTTAGAATTTTTTTTAAAAAATAAAGGAGGTATATATATCATTAGCCTAAATATAAACCGAACGAAACATGTAGTTTGGGCTCTTAGCCTGTTCATTTACCAAAAAACAAAAAACAAACCGAAAGAAACAAAAAATGGAAAAAGATTAAATTTAGTTTATTCTCTAATTTATTTTCTTTTAGTAAAAAAAGTGTTAAGTGTTATTACATTAATTTTTAATAAAAAAATGGTAAATAAGTCTCTAAAATGTGAAATAAATTTCCAAACCTAATTATTTACTATCATTTTAATTTCTAATATCATTTTAGTGACATAATTTTTTAAACTTTAAATTAAGGTAATTATCACTTTAGTCACTAAATGTGTACTTTTTAATACATTGAGGGTGAGGGATGAAAGATTAATTTGATATGACTGCTAAAAATGTGTCTTTAAATGCTATCAAAGTAGTTTTGATCTTTAGTTTGAATAAGTTAATTAGTTAGTTAATAAAAATATGTTATTGTGTTGTTAGTTGATGAGTTAGTTTTAGATTTTATTTTTTATTTATTAGTTAAAACTCATAAAATCATGAAATATGATCTTTATTTAGTTATTTTAATGTATTTAAATATAAGTCATATTCAATAAAGATATGAGTGTTATTGCATTAATTCCTAATATTAAAAAAATGTCAAATAAATCTTTAAAATGTTAAATAAATTTCTAAATTTAATTATTTACTCTCATTCTAATTTCTATCTAAATATATTAATTTTATCACTTTAGTGACATGGTTTTTTGAATTTTAAACTAAGGTAGTTATCACTTTAGCCACTAAATAGGGACTTTTTAATACTATGAGGGTGAGGGGGTGAAAGGTGAATTTATATGAGGATGACACTATTAGACAATGATGAATCTTCTTATAGACCAAGGGAGGTCATGGCTCACCTAAAATTTTATCATATATATACATGAAATATATATTAACTTTGTTAAGATTATCTAAAATTTAAGGAGGTAATTCATAATGAATAATTGTAGTCTATTATTTGAAAATAGCAATGTCATACACATACATGAGTGTTATAAATATGTAATAGTTTTGTCTATTGCTTATTGATATTACCTTTAACATGTAGTGGGACATATAGGGGTTGTAAGCATGATGAAAGAAAACAATTAACTTTGATCGATCCCAAAATTTCAATCGTGAAACATCTTCTAAATAATCTTCTAAATTATTAATTTTAAGCATGAAATTCTATAAATGTCTATTTTTATATATGCTTCTTGTCTTAAATGATTGTATGATTACACTAGATCTTCCAATTTTTCTCTCAGACCAAATGAATATATATTATATAATTTTAGTTAATTTCAGTAAATACAAATTATAATGTTTTTAATTTTTTCATTCCTTATTTATTATTATTATTATTATTGAATAAACATAAAATAACATTTTAATTGAAATATTTTTTTTACATATTCCAAACTCAATTTTTATGTGTCTTTTTAATTATATTTAAATAGTATAATTAAATTATTAAAATATTTATTAAAAATCTTATCAAAATAATTATATTTAATTTAAACATTATAATCTTAAGTATTTTGGTCCCTCCAAAAATTTTAGTCTTCACCATTGATGTTGGGGATGTGTCTTTAGTTGTTGTTGAGATTTTATGACAAGTACACCAAACATACTATAATATAGGGACTTGTAAATATTTGGTAATTTTTATTATGCTAATTAAAACTTTAAAAAGAAAGAATTACACTGAATTTAAACATGTTCATTTCAATATTGAATTTGTAAATGAAATAACAAGTAAAATCAATTATAGTATTGAGAGATAATAGCATAGAAAGTTGTTGGAATTGAATTTCACATATCTTATTTTTGTGTTTTTCTATATATGATTTTTATCAATTAATGTTATTGAATTCTTTAAATTCATTCTAGATCAATTTCTTATATTTAGAAATTCTAAGGATTTCAGTTTAATAAATGATTCCTCAATTGATCAAACAAGAGTCCTTACATTAAGTTTAAGAATTTGTTCACCTAACAACTCCAAATCTATTCCTAGCCTTTAGAGTCATTAGGTGATTTGATTCAAAATAGATTTAAAAAATATTTTCCAATCAAAATTCAAATCCAAGATCAAAAGATGATTCATCAAGTCACTTTAGCATTAAGAATAGAATTAAATTACGAACATTAAATAATAGAATATCGTATATCATATATATAAATCAAAATAAATACATAATAGTTTAATGAATTACATTCAACCCCAACAAAAAGAAGGATCAGCTACTCATAATAATGAGAGTCATCTTCAAATACATAGAGAAAATGTAGAAGAAGGTGAAATTAAATCCAAAATCCCTATTCCCAGAAGATCCTTGGAGTTCTTCCTTTTCCTTTATTCTTCATGTTGTGTTGTTTTGTTTTCTTTCTCCTTTCCTTAAATATGATTTGCAAATAAAACAAAGTAGACAAGAGAGAGCGTAATTTGCTCAACTCTTTCCAAACGACTAAATGGATTGGAAAATTCTTCAAGGTGAAAGAATTTTCATCAGCTAAGCCCTTACAAATTTGTCGAGCCCCTAAGAATCCAATTTTCTACCCCTTTTTGGACCTAATCTGCTCAATCCATTCCAAACAGTTGAGAAGATTTGGTTCTACTCAAAATCTTGTTATGTGCCTCTGATATGCTCAACCCTTTTAAAATGGTTGAACAAATTTGAGTATTTTGAGACTTTAAATTTTCATTAAATCTTGTAAGACATAAAACAAGCTTTTTAAGTAAAATTTTCATCAACTCTTTACAACCTATTTAGTTACACATCCTTTTAATTTTTCTAATATTTTTGGAGTTAAAGTACAAGTTTATTCTAAATCTAATTAAATAAGTGTCATATTAATCAAACATTCTAAGTAAAATGGACACTTATCAACTATTGAAGTAGTTTTGATTTTTAATTTGAATAAGTTAATTTAGTTGATAAAAATATGTTATTGTGTTGCTAATAGATCAATTAGTTTATAATTTTATTTTCTAGTTATCAGTAAAAACTCTTAAAATCATGGAGTATGATTTTTATTTAATTATTCCAATATATTAAAGTATAACTCATATTCAATAAAATTACATACTTATTGCATTAAAAAAAAACAAAGTTGTTATATTATTTCTTTGCTCTGTTACTTTTCTTTATCTTTAAACTAAGACCTACAATTAATATTAGAGCATAATCTGTGGAATGTGGGTTATGGGCACCTTCAATTCCACTACTAAATCAACAAATTGTTTGAAGCAAATTGCAACTTTTGAAATTATAGTCCTGAGAAGACTTTATTCTTATTGAGTTACAAGACAGTCCATGTGTACGGACCAACCTGCTACATAAGGCCACAATTCTGTTGCATAGACATTCTGGCATAAAATACTATACTTTCCTTCACTCGATGATTACTAGGGTGGTCCGTCTGAGACAACCTTAAAATATCTTCCCTGTGACAGTTTTCATAGAGATTTCCAAGCATTTAACCCGTTATTTTAACAGGAATTCATACTAACTTTTGACTGTATAGTAGTTAGCTACTACAATCTTCTGTATGATTAAAATCAAGGGTAATGTTATCTTGACAGCATTTTAAACTTACAAAATCTCACCATTTCTTCCACCGTTACATTTATCTTTTTATCTTTGCAATGTCATTTCCATATCAAAACTTCTCGCAAGTCTACTTGCACTAGATTTTAGTTTGTGTTACTAAAGGGTTATCCCTGTCAACTTTGATTATCAATTCATTGGAATCCTAAGTTATAGAGTTATGCTACTGTTTCTTATTATTGTCTATTCTCTAGTCTAGAAACAATTTAGGAAATGATATTCCAATCAATCAGAGGTTAAAGTAGCAAAAGACATTACTCAACTGCATAAATATGGTGCTTGTACGCCAATGATTCTACATTTTTTTTCAATTGAATCCAAAATTTTCTGTAAGTTCCTTAAGCTTGAAGTGAAAGAAGCTAAACATAGTGGGCCTTAGGTATGACAAGGAAGGTTGAACCATATTGCCATTACGTTAATTTGACATCACAGATTCTACATATTCAATGAAATCCTACATTTTCTACACGGCTTAGGTATGATAAGGAAGGATTGAAAATAGGTGCAAAAAAGTTCAGAGCTCTAATTTTAAATATTCATTAACTTGGTTTGTTACCATTTGAAAATAATTATGTACTTATGTCAAATATTAGAGTCCTTTTCTTACGGGAAAGGCATAGCACTAAAAAACTAAGAAAAAGATATGATGTTAGTTGGCTGAGGTGAGCAATACATTGTACACGATTTTAATCGTAATATGCAAGTTTTCTAAATTATTTGAGCATAGAGAGAATATACTCTATCAGAACACGACAGCTACCTCATAACTTATAATCATACTCATACACCATCCAGCTTTAAAGAATCTCTGTCATCTTCACAACCTGTTCTGGCCAGTATTTTTTTTTTTTAATATTAAAATAGTACAATGAAGTTTTCCTGATCTTATGTTGTGAGAAGTAGCTGGTAATTTTGTCTGTTTTACAAACCTTAGTTATCAAGAACATGCTCACAAAAGATTTAAGAATACTATTGATAAGTTTGTAACTTTGGATTGGCTCTTGTACATATAATAACATGAACATGAAGATACAAATATTGATATTATCATATTTTATTCATAAGATCTTTATATGCATAGAAAATTTGTGGTACAAGAATCAAATATTGATATTATGATATTGTAAAAATAGGGAAAACAAAAATATACTCCTTTTGATTCTTTTATAATAAACAAATAATAATATAGTTTACTCCTATTTGTTTCTTACAAAAGGACCAAAAATAGTATTAACTTTGAGAATGAGTTGAAGGTCATGGAAATAAAAAGGGGAAAAGTACTCAATAATAATGTTAAGGTCTAAAAGTTAGAGAAGAGTTATATAAAGTTTAATGATATGTTCCTCCTTATAAAGGAGTTATTTAAAATACCCACCCGTCAACATGATGAGTTAATTTATATTTTTATTTTGTAAAGATATATATTTTTTTATTAGAGGAGCATAATCAAGTTTTATTCACGAGTTCTTTATTTATAGAGAAAAGGTGTCATACATAATCAAATATCGATATTATCTTATTCTAAAAATAAGAAAAGAAATCTTAAAATAATCAAAACAAATTAAATTTAAATATATGAAACATAAATAAAAGATTCATATCAAAATAAATAAGGAAATAAATCCTAAAATAATAAAAGCAAATTAAATTTAAATATTTGAAACAAAAATAACAGATTATCAAAACTAATTTATTTTCATGCATATTCCCGACATATGTATCCATAAATGCAGAAAATATATAACTTGCTCCATGATATGCGGATATTACAATATCAGTTAGATATTACTGGCAAGATTTCACTGTATCTGTATGATAATAAGGTCAAGATATTAGCCTAACAAAATAGAAAGTTCAATTACAGTGAACTCCATGAAATACAATTAAATTGAGTTGGATGATTGGATAAAAATGGCTATTCAAAACTCTCTCGAAATAGCTAGAAGTGGTAATGGCTATTATGATGATGATGGGCGTGCCAAGAGAACTGGTAAAAAATCTCTAGGACCATACCAAAACCATTCCATATTCATATACTTGAATTGTAGTCCTGAATTTTAGTCCTTCCAACAATTCTACCAGGAACTGTATGGAGTGCTGTGTCTCATATCATTACAGCAGTTATTGGTGCTGGTGTTCTTTCTCTAGCATGGAGTACTTCACAACTGGGATATATTGCAGGACCAACTTTCTTGTTTTTTTGTGCAATTGTAACATGCATTACTTCATTCCTCCTTTCCGATTGTTACAGAACTCTAGATCTAACTGGGAATAGAAACTACAATTACATGGACGCCGTTAGAAACTATCTTGGTAGTTCCTTGTTATTGTTGTTATACAATCATTCTATCCTCAAATTCAGGATATGGTTCCCGTGAACTTCTATTTAAGCCAGCTAATTATTGTTATTGTCAGTTTAGGCTATAAAAGAACAGTGTTGGCTGGTTTCCTTCAATATTTGAGCTTGTATGGGATTTGTATTGCTTATGTAATTACCACAGCAACCTGTTTGAGGTACTTATCCAGTTAAATCCTACGTAAAACCATTATTTATATGCTAGGATCATATCATATGTTTTTTTTATTATTATTTCATGTAATATTAGAGACACTGGTGTATCTCATGACAATTTTGTTCATGTTCTAACGATGCTTTGTGTTTCTAAATATACAGAGCCATTTTGAAATCAAATTGTTATCACAAGGAAGGGCATCAGGCTCCTTGTAATTATGGGGATACAATGTATATGATTCTGTTTGGACTAGTTCAGATCATAATGTCATTCATACCAGATCTCCACAACATGGCATGGCTTTCAGTTGTTGCGGCCATAATGTCCTTTACATACTCATCTATTGGACTTGGACTTGGCATCAAAACAGTATTAGGTAATGTTCATTTTCATAGTCAGAATTTCAGGTTCTGTTTACTTTTCTATTCAAACCTTCTAATCATTAAACCAATAAACAATGGTTGCATTTGCAGAAAATGGAAGAATTATGGGGAGTTTGACAGGAGTACCGGCTTCAAATATTGTTGACAAGTTATGGTTAGTCTTCCAAGCAATTGGTGATATTGCCTTTGCCTATCCATATACAGTCGTCCTCCTTGAGATACAGGTACCCTTCTATAATTAATTGGGTGGGAGAGGAACTTGTAAAGGATAATTTAATTTAAACGCACTCACAATGGAAAACAATTAGTTATTCAATCAAGGACTGTTATGTATAAAAAGTTTATTGATGTTTATAATTATTACTCAATGTCATATTTAACATAATTTTTTATTGGTTGATGATGTAAATACTTTTTTTAGTATTGATAGTGCATAGCAATTGAACTCAAGCAAGACACAATTTACTATTAAAGTAATGAATTTATTTCTTTCTTTCGACTGAAGGACACTCTTGAGTCTCCATCAGAAAACAAGACCATGAAAAAGGCCTCCACTATTTCTATCCTCATTACAACATTCTTCTACCTCTGCTGTGGATGCTTTGGATATGCAGCTTTTGGAAATCAAACACCAGGAAACCTCTTGACAGGATTTGGCTTTTACGAGCCTTATTGGCTCATTGACTTTGCTAATGCTTGCATTATTGTTCATTTGATAGGAGGATATCAGGTACTAGGGTCACTAATCAAAATTCTCATTTTATTCATAAGACCATAACTAGTCCTTATGATTAATTTTCCTCGCAAAAACTCTTGATTCTTTAGTGACCCCCCCCCCGCCCTTTCATGACACATATATAATATACTTATTTTCAAGAGAGTATTAAACAAGATTGACTTCAAAATTTTATAATGTATCTTTCCTACGAATTCCTTAATGATTTTCTATTCCTTATGAATTACCAATTGAATTTTTTCACCTCCAATTATTCCAACAATCTTTCTTAGAAACATAAAATAAATTAAACCTGTAGAACTTAGGGATATTGTTATTATAACTATATGCTCAAGTTACTTGTGACTCTATTCTTTCACTTTCATTTCATGTTACCAGGCAAATGATAGTTGTGATTCTTCTATATGATCTTTTCATCAGATTTTCAGCCAACCGATATATGGTGCTTTCGAGAGATGGTGTTCAAAAAAGTACCCCAATAGTGGCTTTGTGAATAATTTCTACCAAATGAAACTGCCTCGGTTGCCAACTTTTCAGCTGAACGTGTTCAGGTTATGTTTTCGAACAGCCTATGTGGTTTCCACGACTGGACTTGCGCTCCTGTTTCCATACTTCAATCAAATTCTAGGGGTGTTAGGAGCCATTACCTTTTGGCCATTGGCCATATATTTCCCTGTAGAGATGCACTTTGTGCAGAGGAATATTGAACCTTGGTCTAGAAAATGGATTGTCTTTAGGACCTTCAGCTTTATTTGTTTTCTTGTGTCATTGTTTGGTCTCATTGCATCACTTGAAGGAATCATAAGCCAGAAACTAAGTTAATGAAGGCTGCTTCATTTCTTATCTTTCATGTATTTCAGTTTCAGGCCAATTTTATTACTACTGAGTTAATAAAGGACATATCAAAGTGAAAGTGGTGTTGGACATGGAATAGTACTATTTGCCGAAGAACACCCTTTAAATAAAGTGCAAAGCTACATAAACTTGTTCATGTACATACAAAACTTGTATAGTTCTATTGATTATGAATTATTTGATTCAACTCCAAAATTGTGCATGGTCAAATTAATATGTTTTTCCAGTATAAAAAACATTAAACTTTGTTTTAAGTTGAAATAATGCAGTCTTGCAGGATAGAAGCCTAGGACATTGTTCTTAAGATTAATATATCTCCTTAACTCTCCTCAATTACGTGAAATTCATTATTTGTAATTATTAGTAATTATATTAAAACTGTTAATTAGATTTTATTTTATAATAATATTTATACATTTATTTGTTTTTAATTATTTTCAATTACAGTTTATTATATAATAATATTTATATTAAAAAAAATATTGAGAAGAGAATTATTAGAGAGAAGAAATATTTAAGAGAAAATTATTGAAAAGAAATTCTCGAGGAAAGATGTTCTTTATATATTATTTATAGATTCATTGTTCTTCGACTGCAAGAATTTAGCCGATAATTTCTGCACAAACATCAAGTTGTCAAGGATTATGAACAAAATATCAGTTTTATGTACCATTTTAAATGAGTATTTAGTCTAACACATCCTTTTAGTGCTTTATGTTAAAATAAACAAAAATTAAATATATTAAATAATGGGGTTAGATCACATAAGAGTACATGTGGTGCCATCATTGATACCGTGGTAAAAATTGATTTATCCCAGAAATATTGAGTTGATAGATAATATTGTAGAAATATGGTATAAAAATAATACAAATCATTATAAAATTATGATGCTATAGGTCTAATTTGGTGAAATAAGTTATGACAATTTTGAAGCAACTTTTGAATATCCAAACCCACCACATTTTGAAAGTCAAAAGTTAAACCAAGTAGAACTGAGAGGCCACATGTTTTAAATAATATTTTCTTATATTAATCAAGGAACAGAAGTGAAGCAAAGGAGTGGCTTGGAACCTTTATTCCCACTGTACCCAAACCCAATATTTATAATGGACCATCCATAATTAGTGATATAAGGACCATCTCAGTGAAAGCTCCCAACTCCACTAGAGGAACAATTTGGTCCCACGGAAGGATAAAAAAATACACTTAAAATATGGATTTAGGGTTGAAAAAATTAGAGTCTGTATAGACTAAATTTACAACATTTTGGTGATTTTAAGTTCTAGTGACTTTCCTCTGCCTCTGTCCTATGAATACTCCTTCCGACAAAGGGTTATCTCAGACAACTTGTAATCCTAAGATACATAAAGTATATTACTGTTTCTTATTGTCTAGAACCAACTTGAGTATAGGACGTTCGAGATTCATATATATATACATGTTCTATATTTTTCGTCGTGTTTCAAAATATCTCATAGGAGATTATGTGTGTTATATAATTTTTTTTTCTCTCTCTTTATAATTTAATGATGTAGGAATGAGAATCAGGAATGTTTTTCCAATCACAAGTTAAAGTAGAAAAAATATTTTTTTTTTAAACCGATGGTTGATAAGGAAGGGTTGAAGCATGTTGTATTGGGATTATGTTAATTTTACGCCACGGATTCTGGTCCTGCTTATTCTTCAATCAAATCGAATATTTTCTATACGCCCCTCAAAGTGAAAGTAGGAATGATAGTGATACTCATGAAGAGTTAAAAATAGGTGCACCTGCATCAAACGTTCTTCTATTCCTTTCTCATGCCGTGCTTTCAATTTCAAAGATTAGACACAAAACCACCTTCACTAACGTGGGATTAGAACTATGCTAACTCAATTTCAAGAATAAGTCACAAAATTACCTTCATTTCCTACATTAGGATCACTAATTCTTTAAGGGAGTGTTTGTTATAAAAAGAAGTTTTTAATACCTGATAATATGATTATTGAGAATTACAAATTTTAAAAATTATAATTTTTAATAGTAATTTAAATATCTTTGATTACATATAAAAACTCTTAAATATATTTATATAAAATATCTAAAAAAATAAATACTTTCATGTTTGCTTAGAATAGTATATTTATGAGTATATGAATATTTTTTACATAATTATCTTTTATTAAAACAAGCTCATTATATATTTATTTATTTATTTATTTAAATCTTATCACAAATATGATGTTGAATTATTTTAAAAAGTTAAAAATTTATTAAAATTATTTAAATATAAAATTCAAACAAAATAAAAAAATGTTATATTATAATTAAGAAAAATAAAAATACATTATTTCATTTCATTTAAATAAAAATAAATAATAAAAAATATTAACAAATATCATTAAAATATAAAAATAACAAACTTTAATTATTATTAAAATTAATAAGAAACAAGAAAGAGAGAGAGAGAGAGTAGGGATAGCAACGGGGCAGAGCAGTTACGAGTTTCATGATACTCGTCCTCGTCCCCACGGCCCAAACCCATTTGCATCCCCGTATCCTACCCGTCAAGTATATAATTTTTATTTCATCCCCACTCGCGTTGGATATCAGGTATACCCATATTTGTACTCGTCAAAAATTAATTATTTTTTTTATAAAAAAAAATAATATTTTTAGTTTATTTTTCTATTATATTACAATTATAATTAGGTTGTTTGTCTATCTCATATTTTAATCAAGAGACTTCTTAATAATTAAACAATTACAAATGTTTCACATTATAATAAACAATCACACATAATTAAATATTAAAATTCTTTAAAATAATTAAATCAGGGACGAGTATTAAATAGGGGATGGGGACGGAGACGAGTACGGGGCGAGTAAGTATATACCCGTATCCAGTTTAATATATCGAGTTTTACCTGTACTCGTACCCGGTCAAATCGGGTATTTTCTATCAAAGTCAGAATATATTTGGGTATTACTCACGGATACGGGTTTATTTGTCATCCCTAAGAGAGAGATAAAGATATGGGAGGGAGAGAGTGAGGAAGATGAAGATAGCGGGTGAGAGTGAGAGATAGAGAGCGAGAAAGAGAAATAAAAATAGAAATAGAAGGAGAGAGAGAGAGTGAGAAAGAGAAGGAGAAGAAGACAAAGGGAGAGGAGGAGTTTGAGTGAGAGAGTGAGAGAGAGAGAGGGAGAAAGAGAAATAAAAGAAAAGAGAGAAAGAAATTTTTTTTGCTTTAAAAAATAGATATTGTGGTATTTATATATATATAAAAAAATTTCTTTCTAACTAAGGAAAGTTGGATTCTCATAATAATAGTTTTGTGAGAAAGTAGGATAAAAATGATTTTTAATAAATTATATTCTTGAAAGTCTTTTCTTTTAAATAAGGCTAAAAACCTAATTTGGTCCCTTATAATCTTTTTTTGTTTCAATTTAGTCCCTCATTAATTTTTTGTCTCAATTTGGTCCCAAACTAATTATTTGGTTTCAATTTAGTCCCATATTAATTAATTGGTTTCAATGTGGGACTTTCCGTCCAAATTGCTTTAACGGTGTTAACTTTTGGTCACGTGGACGCGACGTAGATATGCTCCCGAGGTCGTAGGTGCCAGACGTGGACCCTCCCATTGTCGAGCAGGGCGCGCCTGCTTCTCCCTCTGTCGAGGCACGCAGCAAGGGGCCGAGTTTCGAGGTCCCCACAGCTACACTTGCAGCTTCGGCGCCGGCGTCTGGTTCATCGCAGGGGGCTTCCCGGAGTCAATATATAGCTCACCGCTTCGGGAAGGCCGCTCGCAGGTGCGATTGGACCATGTGAGTGCCTCTGCTGATATGAATTCGTTGTGGAGCGCGGGGGTGACTGCCGAGAAGTTCTTCCCCCAAGGTTCGTTGAGCTCGGACGACCAGGGGATGATAGACGAGGTCGAGCCCGTGTGATGGAGCTAGGTGAAGAAAATTGATGTTCTCCAATAGTTCCATGCTTGGACCGTGATGCTTCTTGAGGTTGACACTTTGAGACCTCTGAAAACTCCTTTGAAGAATCTTCAACGGAGGAGAAGTCCTAAAGGAGGTTCGGCCACTTCCTAAAGCTTGTGAAGGAAGCTTGAGGAACCAAGGCAAAGTTGAGAAACTTTGCTAGAAAACCTAGGAGAGAAAGTTCTCATTCGGTTTTGGAGAGGGACTCTTGAGAGAGAAATCAGAATTTTATTTCTCAAATGTTCAAAAGTGATTACAAATGAAGGAGTTACAAATATATAGGGTAGAGGTAGCTTCTAGGAGAAGTTAACCTTAACCATGGTTCACTAGGAACCATGGTAAGGTGTACTTAACTCCCTACGGTTTAGCTAGCTTGCAGGAGAAGCTAACCTTGACCATGGTTCACTTAAGAACCATGGTAAGGTAA